TGCCCTCTTTAATACCCATCACCAGGCTAATCCATCCTCCTACCTCCCTCCCTTCTAGAACCCTCAGTTTGTTTTTCAGAGTCCATCATCTCTCATAGTTCGTCTCCCCCTCCGATTTCCCCCCCTTCAATTTCCCCTTCCTGCTATCTTCTTCTTCTTCTTTTTTCTTAAAATATATTGCATTATTTGTTTCAGAGGTACAGATCTGTGATTCAACAGTCTTGCACAATTCACAGCGCTCACTATAGTACATACCCTCCCCAATGTCTATCACCCAGCCACCCCATCCGTCCCACCCACCCCCCACTCCAGCAACCCTCAGTTTGTTTCCTGAGATTAAAAATTCCTCCTATCAGTGAGGTCATATGATACATGTCTTTCTCTGACTGACTTATTTCACTCAGCATAACACCCTCCAGTTCCATCCACATCATTGCAAATGGCAAGAATTCATTCCTTTGGATGGCTGCATAATATTCCATTGTATATATATACCACATCTTCTTTATCCATTCATCTGTCAATGGACATCTTGGCTCTTTCTACAGTTTGGTTATTGTGGACATTGCTGCTATAAACATCGGGGTGCAAGTACCCCTTCAGATCCCTACATTTGTATTAAAGATACTTTGCTTTTGAATCCAACAAAGTTTAAGCAAATATGTCCAGCAACACAAAGGTGTTATGTTAGAAATCATACAATCAGATAATCTTACAGTTGAAAAGTAATGTAGAAACTGGATAAACAATTCACCCATGTCCGCAATGACTTTTACTATATCTACCTTATAAATGGCCAAAAATTCACCAATCTGATGTTGAAGGACTTCATATACCAAACGATTTTCCCTCAAATATTGAGCTTAAATATGCCTTTCTGTACATTTTCTCATTGATCCTGTTTTAGGAGATACACAAGAAAGTGTATTTTCTCTTACATGAAGTATTATACTGCACATGTTTAAATGAAATGAAAATGTCTCTCACTCCCATTGGTGCCCCAAACATCTTTAAACATTTCTCTTATAGTTTCCAGGTAATCTTTCCCTCACAGTCACAATTCTGTAGGTACTCTTTATTTGTAGTTTACTTCATTAATATGCCACTTATCACAACAATGCAGTTCTTATGTGTATAACATTTACTCTTGTAGCTTGGAAAATTATTACTAACTAAATGAATCTTAAGCATTAGCATTTAGATTCAATCATATATTTACTGAATATTTTATAACAAGTACTGTCTGTGCTAAGTACTTTGGAGGCTACAGAAGTCGTTATCATATTTTCTGATCTCAAAAGAATTGTATTCTAACCAAAAGAATTTAAAGCAAAAGTCTAGACTGGGAAAGATAGAAGATTAAAAGAAAGCAGTCAAGATATTTTTTGCTTTATATTACAGACCATATTAGTTTCACAATGACTGTATAGTTTTCTGTAAAACTGATCAAAATAGAAAATAAATTTTTATTTTATTTTCATATATTGATAGCAGAGAATTTCAAACATAACTAAATAAATGAAGCCATAATTTGTATCATCTGTTCATTCATGAAATCTATTATCTTACCGACATTTAAGTTCTGATGAAATATTACTTACTCTAAAACATTTAATGTCTTCTTATTTTAGTCAGTGAATTAAGCAAAAAATCATGGAATCAGCAACACTTTGCCCTGGGATTTCCCAAACCACCAAGGCCAGGAAAAAAAAGGAGATCAAAACCATCCCAACTGCGAGACAATGCAATTCCTGTGAGTATTGGAAAGATCATATAATTTTACTAGTGCTAAACTTGTGAAATCATGTATGGTTATATGTGTTACAGATCAGCGCTGACCAATGGGATTTCTGTGATGATGGAAATATTTTATGGTCTTTGCATTCCAATGTGGCTATTGAACATTTAAAATGAGGCTAGTGCAACTGAGGAATTGAATTTTACATCTCAATTCAATTCAATTCAATTCAATTCACTTGTGGCTTTTAAATACCATATTGGACAGCACAGTTAAAGGCAATTCAAATTCTACTACATGAAGGAAGTAGATCTGTTTTATTTGCATTTCACTATATAAATATTGTTCCCTTATTTCATATTAACTATTTCTTTAGCAACCCCACACTATAGAAAATATGTGTCCAAGAAGCACAAAAATCTGGAGATCCTAATGCGACAGTTAGTATGAACATTCAGAAAATGTCCTCCAGCTGGGGAAACTCCCTCATTAGAATCATGGGATTATATTATACCTTGATAAAGTGCTTCCTCATTTTCTGTAATGTAGCATTCAGGATTCTAAATATTAGAAGATAAGTATTTCTCAATGTTTCTAGAGTCATCATGGGATATGAAATGTTTTTTAAAAAGTTTTACAAGATAAAAATATCATTAACTCTTGTTTATTTTAGGGAGTATTTCCAATCAGTAGTGATCCTAGCTTATTCTGTCATCTCACACTCTGCCTTTCCTTTCTTTCTTTATTCTATTTATTTTTCCATTGTTTGTTAACATCACTTCCAAAGTTTGCTACTTTTCCAATTAAGATTTTGCAAATACTTGGTTAGGAGTTGAAAACAAAATGCATCATTCTGCACAAATTTATGTGCACCAAATGTTACAGCTTTTATCATTGTAGTTTCCTATCTGATAATATTCAATTTACATCTTGCTAAGCAAGAGTTTCAGGTTTTTACTTTTAACTACAGGTGGCATTCTAAATTCCAGAGACTTTGAATGTGATAATAGAGACCAGGATATGCCTGAACATGAAACTATTACATATTAGAGAACAATTAGTTTCTGTGTTAGCCTAGGAATGGAAAGTGCTCCATGCAGAACGTGCCCTCTAAGAATTCTTGAGAACATTGAGAGGGGGGGGGCGAAAAAGCCCTCTCCAGAATCAGAAGAGAGATTCTGGTATGTCATTAGTCAGTGAGGTTTCTACCAATTTTAACATAATATCTTGAGGGAATTATGAAGATCCTCTAAATTGAAATAAGGCCCACAATGAGACATGACTATCCATTTGTCCAAAAAAGGATTAAACTGGAAAAGCAGAATAAACTATGGCATCTACAAATTATCCACTATTTATCAAAACCTAAAATCTTTTAATGGTTGAAGTTAAAATGCATTTGGTATGTGGTAATAAAAGCTGTGTAACATACAAATTGTTCATTATTATTCTAACCAATATTCCAGATATATGATTCAGACAAAATAAAAGAAGGTCCCAAACGACCGTTATGGATGCACAGTTCTTTAATGAGAATTTCTGAGAGACCATCTGAATATTTAGCTGCCAGGAGGCAGCCTCAATATAAAGCAACCCATCGCCCAAAGGAAGATGCTAAAGTAGCAGATGTAGAAAAACGTTTATCTCCAGAAACAGCTAAGAAAGGTAAAGAAGATAAGCAAGCAGACAAGAAGGACATATCGGAATCAGAAATAGTACCCACAGTTTTAAAGGAGCCAAAAATAACTAAGAGAGAGCCAAAGAAAGATAAGGATATAGAAACAGGAACTAAAGATGAAAAAGAGGCAAAAACAGATGCCAAAAAAGAAAGAAAAGATTCAAACAAAGGCAAGGAGTCAGGTACAGAATCTGAAGATGAAAAGAAAGATGCCAAGAAAGATGCCAAGAAAGAGAAGAAAGCGCCAAAGAAGGGCAAGGGGTCAGGTACAGAATCTGAAGATGAAAAGAAAGACATCAAGAAAGAGAAGAAAGCTTCAAAGAAGGACAAGGAGTCAGGTAAAGAATCTGAAGATGAAAAGAAAGACATCAAGAAAGAGAAGAAAGCTTCAAAGAAGGACAAGGAGTCAGGTAAAGAATCTGAAGATGAAAAGAAAGATGCCAAGAAAGATGCCAAGAAAGACAAGAAAGCTTCAAAGAAGGGCAAGGAATCTGCTACAGAATCTGAAGATGAAAAGAAAGATGCCAAGAAAGATGCCAAAAAGGACAAGAAAGGTTCAAAGAAGGGCAAAGGGTCTACAGAATCTGAAGATGCAAAGAAGGATAAGGATGGGAAAAAAGATACAAAGAAACCAGAGGAGAATGATGATCAATCAAAAGACAAGAAAGATGCAAAGAGAAAGGGGAGTAAAAAAGGTAAGAAAGAAGAAAAGAAGGCCAGTGGGACAGATATTGAATCAAAGGATGATGCTAAGAAGGATGCCAAGAAGGATGCCAAGAAGGATGCCAAGAAGGATGC